AGATGTCTAATAATGCGCATTAATCTAGTCAGCCCGATCCGTACACCAATCTAGTCACAAATGAATTTCCACTGACTCAGATAGTCCCTCTGTTTACACATAAAAGAGTCTGCTTTGGATTGAGAGAAGTTGGTGCAAATTAGTGTTGGAGAATCGTAGTTTCACCTGGACTTCAGTGACGTAGGAGGCACGGCTGTCGATGACCTTGGTGACGTCCCGACAGATTGCGCCTGGTCCTTGACACATGTCGTGGCTATAATGGTTGAAGCTACTGAAGTAGCACTTTGAATAAATTGGGCAGCAAGGGTTGTATAAGTTGATCGGTCCGGCATTTGTCACTCATGCAGAAGGGTAGGTGTTACCGATATTGCATCAGTCGATACAATGGACAGGAGTGGATGGGATGTGTGTGGAGACGGGCCATCATCGGTCGTTCGCGATGGCTGGTCGATTTAGGTTTCCCAAGCTTACCTTTGCTGTGTGTTCGTTGGAACACTCGCCCCTTTTCCTTGCTTTCGCGGTAATGATTTTGGGTGCTGGATGAGCTGCAAGCAGTGTCATCGGTTTCTTTAGTGAAGCAATTATCGTATATAAAGGAAGTTCAGTTTCGGTGGGCAGTGTCGTACTTTTGTACTAATGTTAGTATACATTTTACTTGGAGGACCGTCGTACACTCAAAAGAGAACCAATGAGAACAAGACATACGATTAGAATTCTTTACTCCTGCTCGATACCAACTGGCGCATTTCAGACGACAATGACTGAAACAGTGAAAACATATCAGTTCTGTTTTTACTACCCTAGCATATCTTTTAGAAAAAATAGCTTTATATGCGGTTTACAGGTATTGTGTCCATGATCGTCGAGCGGGCGCTGCCTGGTATGCGGGTTAAGGCAGTCTCGCTGTCGAGTATAATTAGCTCTCCGATCTTCAGGTCGAGGTCAGATTACCGGCTAGTCGTACTTTAGGTGTTACGCCTGGCTGTCAGACGATGACGAGTAGGGCGGCTAATGTAAATCGGTTGTGTTTGTCATTGTTGTGCACGGCAGTTTGATGTATCGCACCAACTAAAATATTGAGAGGCGAAAGTTGCTTGTCTCTTGATTGAGAAGGGATAACCATATAAACCTAATCTGCTGTGTAGCTGGTACACACCTTGATGGATTTAGATGAACGAGAGCTTGTTACAAGCTAAGCAACTCCCCTATCGAAGGACGCTAACTCCGGAGTGGGTGATCGAAACAGGACAAATATACACACAGAAGTAACGGCCAATACTTGGCAAATTCATAAATCCTGGCAGAAAAACTCTGTCATGAAAGTTACGAATGTTGCAGAGGACCGGGTTGGCCTCGAAAGACACGATGTCCCCTAACAGTAGCTATGTACGACACAAAATTTGGGGCCATCCCGGTCCTCTGCAAACTTCGTAACTTGCATGACAGTGGAGGACAAATGCGCCATATCACAGTTAGCTTGTAAATCATGAAGGTCCGAAGTTGTTCCCCGTGGCCCAGTGGTATAAAATGCTGACTGGAGGTGATAGCCGCTGGTGGTCATGGATTCGATTCCGGATGGATTCGATGGATGCGCACTACTGATGATGCCCAACACGCTGAAACCGCAGTCTAGTGCTTTTCAGGGCATGTGGAAGACTATCTGATTGGAAGCTGGCTGTGATGAACATTAATTATCTATATCACATTCCCCTACTCATGAGTACCTAGAAATACCTTAGCTGAAGATTTTCCATTATGCTACTAGTAGACAGTGGTCATGAATTCTAGAGAAAAATTGTTCATCCAGCGACGTGCGACTAAATGTTAAGGAGAAATGCTGAAAAGTCTTGAAACACAAAGTGCTGTGACTGTCAATTAAATGTGAACACCGTATTTACTTTAGCGAACAGCGGACAGGATTCTTATACGCACTGATGCACTGATCGCATTTAGCTAGGTAAACGCGTCCTTAAGCCAGTAGCCTTACATCCCGCTGTCTCCATATCTTGCCTCATTGGTTATTTTGCCATCATAACTGTACCAGGAATTGGGATAATCAAACCACCCATCCACTTCAAGCTATTGGTTCATGGCTAAAGGTTCATAACTAGTAGATCCAATTTCGTAACGGTACTTTGACCTTTGAGGCTGTAGGGGATACGCTAAAAGAAACACCTCTACGCATCGTACCATTCGGTAACATCTGTGTACTCGTTGTGTCCTTGCAAAAGCAGCGACATTGTCTGTGTGCTCTGTTTGGTAAAAGGTCACCGGGCCGAGCTTCTAACCTATGAGAAGTGGAAAGAAGCGAGGATAATTCCTCATAATTATGACCACGGCTTTAAAGGAAAAGAAAAGATGGGTAGTCATGATATGTTCAGGTTGTTCTGAACTTCGCAGAATGTTACTCGTAGACTAGTAAAGGGTCCAGAATTCGCAATATAGTGGCTATAGCATATAAAGAAATCTTTCAGGCCCGTACTTCGAAGCTTGGTGACATCAGCATCAAGAGCGTTTAACAGAAACAAAGCAGTCTTTTTGAATACGGTAACGTGGAACTAGAGAAGAGTATAAATGTAGTCGACACACGCTCTACTGGCGGCTTGATCCGTCTTGAATTTCACTATGTGGTTCCCCACAACAACCGTATACCACCGGAACATGATGTACGCGAGTAGCCTTGGAGAAGAGAGATGTAGCCGATAATGCCATGAGTTTCTGGAGACTACTTGGCGATTTTTGAGGGTTGGAGCATCGACCGACCAGCACCTGGGAGGGTACCACCACCCTGCGTCTCTGTCGAAGGTAGAAACTAAGGCAGTCCATAGTAGATCATCATGGTTCCACAGGAAAGGCAATGGAAAGTTGTTTAGACAGGTGCCTTTCACCGTTTTGGCAGTGTTATCTTACGTGCAATATCCTTGACGGTGGAACTAGTTACGTAGACTTCTCCAGACAGGTTTAGGCTACCTAACAATCCTGATACACGGTCATTTGATTAGGTTTTTGGTTCTGTCAGTTGTTCCAGTAAATGGGACTGGGTGTAGCAGCTGTTAATGCCTATCGACTGCAGTTTCGCCCATAGAATAATTGTCCTCCTTGGTATGCTGAGTGACAGAGCAGTACTCTGGTATTTCTGTTGCTATTGGTCCCATTTTCCTTGACCCAATGCATTTACCGACGATCCCATTCGTTTGAAAGACTCCCAATCAAATGACGATTCATAGTGGAATAAGTAGGCGAAGCACAACCAAGGCGACACTTTGACTTGCGTAATCATCAATGCAGCTTCGGGGCCATGTGCACAACTTGAATAAAGTGCTCACCGCTGGCGTAGCGAGGAAGAACGTACAGTGTCGGACGCGTGCGAGGGGTGTACGAGCGCAAACCGAGTTGGAGCAGATCACTGTAGTAAAGGCTTTTGTCATGATAAACCATAGAACAAGATGGCGTGGGTAAAACGAATACAACTAAAACCATGGGTTACCAAAGCGCGACTAAGCAGATGGTCAAGCGGAGATTAAATTTGCAAGTTCAAGGACGGAGAAGTTCAAGAGGTGATTTGGAAATAAAGAACAAGGAACAACTATGAATACGCAAGACGAGGTAATGAACACTGAAATTGGAGCCTGGTGGGGTAGGTGGTAGGAAGTGATCCAGGTAGGGGCATATAAACAGGACTGGGGGAGAAGAAACCAGGCAAGACAAAGTAACTCTTTTCTTCCCAAGTGTCTTGTGAGCGGAAGATGCAGTCTGATCGCTTATTGTGAGAACGAAATTTCGCTTGGCGTGATCAGCCCCGTACTGTGCGTTAAATAGAGGTTCTGTTGAGGGACTCCACCTTGACCTAATGGATTGAATCAAGTGAAGATGGGAGACAAGCCCAAACCGGGAGCGTGGCTACAGTGGCCCAGTCGAACATAGACGAAACCGGCCACAGTCATTTGGTACCGGGAACTAGCTGTGCCTGTTTCTCAGACTTCGCAGCACGCTCGTGCGATTCCAGTGGAGCGAAAACGAGTTTTGTTTTATCCGTGTCTTTTGACCAGAGGCTACCTGGTGTGGAGTCGACGGCATCAAATTATTGAGAAAGGATTGCGTCAAGTCTTCATCAGCAATAACCAGTAGTGCTAATTCTCTGTGTCCATCGACCTAAAACTATAACCAACAGCTGTTTCCCACCTTGTCTTTGTCGTAAAGAAAGAGAGACATCTGTCCCTGCTCAGCTTCCATTGACGAGGATATTTATACTAACTTCGTTTGACCTATTTGTCATGAATGGTTTGAAAATACATGAAGCGCATTGCATAGTGTAGTTCAGTGCATCGCACCACCTTGAGGTTCTTCGTAATAATACCATGCTGGAAGCGTCGTCTCCGAAAATTTTCAGAACATAATTAGCAGACCACTAACAAATTATAATTTGTCGGTGGATTGCTATGGATCAGTAGATAGCGTGTGAATTGTAGACTCCAATTGCAAGTTTGCAACTTCTTATTCTTTCCAACTATTCACCAGTATTATGTATATGTAAAATTTCGTAGTTAACATCCATTTACGCCAAACTGCCGACACTATATGACATGAAGGTGACCTTGTTTAACAGCACCCCTGCGTAGTCGCAACAGCGCGTCCATAAACTCCTAGCATGTACTTTCACCGTCAAGGTGTCATCCACTATTGACCGGCTTACCACTGCTCTTAATTTATTCGCTGGTCCGCAGTATACAATAATTAAAACATTTTAGCTCATTATGACAGTGTCAATAAACGTTGTCCTAAGTCACTTATGTATACTTCGAGGTACTGCCCTAGAAACGCAGATTCCTACTTCAGTTATGTCAAGTTTGCTCAGTTGTCCTGGGGCTCACTCCGTGTGTGAGATATGGCCCAGAGCTTTCAACGAAACACGCAGGAATACCTGCGTACCTAATTCACAAGATGAGGATAAACATGTTTCGGTGACAAACGATCATGCCAAAAGCAAACCTTGTAACTACCTGTATGTTTGGATCCGCTCCTTGTTGCAGAAGCAATTCAGCGATTTCGAGGAAACCTTTATTGGCAGCCATCATAAGCGCGGTTTTCCCGAGTTTGTTTGTGGTATTAACTTTCGCACCATACTTTAATAAGACGTTGACAAAGCTGTCATCAATAGAGAAGCAAAAACAATTAACTGGATACCACATGAAAGAGAGCGTAAAGTAACTGCGTTGTTTACCAAGTGTAGGCGCTTTAGTTAAACAGACGGTTTCTACCATACGAACGGATTTTCGGCTGAATAATGTTGGCTCATCGGTATGTTCAGTGAATCAAAGAGTTTTGGGTAACATCCTTGGGGCTTCACGTGTGAGAAAAAATCTAGCCCAGGTAATCTAGATTAGCGAGATTGCTACATGTACTCACTACTCAGAAGATGTCTTCTGCGTTTCGTTATTCCGATTAATTCAAGTTAATCAACGCTACTGTGATACGGGTCTATCAGAGGTATGCAGGATTTTTCAATGAGTAGAAAGTCCGTGCATAATCATGGAGTAACTAGTTACTTAAACCACAGTGAAATCTTCACCCGGATAAAATTTTCGGCAACTCTGTCATACAGTGTTCATCTGATTTAACTGTTTCACTTGGCCACGATAGCCAGAAGTCACTTTGAAACGCACTCAATGTGCGCTACATGAGAGGTAGTAAGACCCGAGCATGGCCAACCCTAATTTGCGCGTTAAACGAGCATACGCTAAGTACACGCGAACCTCGATCTGTAACGATACGTACAGATTTCAACCGACCTACCATATAAACCGGTGACTTTGCTGGTGTAAGTCAGTAACGTTTGAACATCGTAGCATTGCAAATAATTTTGTGATTCAATGATTACCTTTCCACATCAAACTCGGATGCTACCTTGTATCGTCCGCTGAACGCAAAAGATCCAAATTGCTAGGGTCGCGTTCCTCCAACGCATTTCAGTGGTGCACTTAGGTGTACATTGTTCATCTGTGTTATAACAGGTTGGATGAAGTTGGGTTTTACATAAGTCATTTTGAGCTTTTGTGAGGTATTTTAATATATGTTTGATTAGACACTAACAGATGATGCATTTGAACAACATTGTTTCCACTGACGTCTGTTGCGCGACGAAACCTCCAGCGTTGCCAGCCATTGGAAGTTCAAGTCGTGTTGTCCCCATCCTGTAAAGCGGACCGGTCCGACGGGTACTAAGCTGGAGGTTGCCTTCTTTATGCTCCTTCTCCATGCCATTGGTTGCCCACCGCGGCACTTTCTCTAATCGCTTTCGGGGAGCGCAACCAACGCTCGACTGGGAACGCGATAGGCTGGCATGCGTGATATATGGCCGAGCTAAAGAATGAGGTGTTGGAGACTAACGTTTTGGTGGGATGGAAGTTTGCTCCGAACACTCCCTCACGCACTTTTGTGTTGCTTACGTGATGTTGCCACCACAAGCGAGCAGTCCTACGCAGACAACGATTGTCAAAACCTGACAATTGCCTCGTGTCTCCCGAGCGAATAGGCTAGGTTTCACAACCGAACAAGAGGACCGCACGCGCAGTGGCAACGTACACCCTGCCCTACAACTTCAGACTGACATCGCGACGACGCCGTAGGTGTGCCTTTGCGATCCGTTGTGAGACCACATCTCTAACACCGCCGCCAGCCTTGATGAAACTCCCCAGATAAGTGAAGCAGCGGATTTCTTCTAGGACCTCACCAAGACAGGGACAAACATCTGCCAATCCTGAAGTAGTATCTTGCAGTTGCCTGAGGCCAACTAAAGGCATATTTAGACGTTTCCATCACTAAGGGATTCAAAGCACTCTGGATGACTTGTGTATCGTCCACATGCAAAGGGATATCATCGACGTAGTCTAAGTAGGCGACTATGTCACCTGAACGAAACTCAATACCGCAGTTTTGGCCTCCTTCCAACGCTCCTTTGAAGATAACTTCAGTGGTAAATTTGAAAAGGAAAGGTGAAATGGGACAACTTGGCGAACGCAAATGATGACAACAAAACATTGAGGAAAACCTGCTGTAAACATGACTTTGCCCGGCGTGTGGCTGTAGAGTTCCTTCAGGATGGTTACAAACTTGTCGGGCACACCTTTCCTTAGTGGACAATTCCACAACGCAGATCTATTTTCTTAGTCAAATGCCGCTCGGATTGGTGGCCGTCGGTAGACGTGACGGCGTTCAAAAAATCGGAGGAATGTGAAGATTCGCTTGATGTCACAACTGCCTGGACGAAAACCGGCTTATTCCTCTCTGGAAACGCCATCTCTAATCATTAAAAGTCTGCGGAGTAGGGCAGACGAAAATCCTGGACGCGAAAGAGATCAACGAGATTCGGTGGTAGTTGGTAAAACTTTCGACGGAGCCTTTATTGTGGATCAGGACAACGACTGTTTCCCCCCATTCAATTGGCTTTCTCGTTAGCTCAAATCTCCGCAAATTGTGGCAGGATTTCACTGACAACTTCATTTCCGCCATAGTTGAATAGAGTCGAGAATAGGATCGCAGGGTCGCGCTAATTATGATGTTTCAAAGATTGCATTGGGCTGCGGAGTTTTTCTTCCGGAGGAGGATCTGTGAGGACAGGTCAAGCTCTATCTGAGGGAGACAGCGGGCTGCGCTGGGAAGTTTAATTGGAAGGCAAATTGCCCTGCACAGCGACTAAAGCGCTTGGGTAATTCGGTGATTTTCATGCATTCTGACTAATAGAATATATATTTCGACCAGTGGTCCTCATAAGTTAAAATAAACTACAGAAGTTTCCATCCGATGCAGGTGCTTCTAGGTCATCAGCTAGTTTTAACCATGAGGATTCACGGTCAGAATGAAAGATAAACTACAGCTGCTGTGGGACTGATCGACGGAGTTCATTGCGCTTCGCATCAATGGATAGAGCCCGTCGACGTTATAGAAGTTCCGAGGATTGCACCGAAATTCAGCTTTTGGCTGTGCAGCAGGTGAGGACGCGGCTGGACAAGCCAGCGGACAGCATGGCTTGTTGCAAACTCAATTAGTGTTGATCGACATTCAGAGGGGGGACGTGTGAATTTTACGTGGTCTCTGTTGACGCAGCATTTCTACAGTTGGATCATTCAACCTTTGTTCAGTCGGGTTTGTTTGGCCCTAAGTGAGCCACAGCAGCGCATGCAAACTGTCGCACACGCAAGTGCGTTATCAGTTTCCACGCACGTCGGCCAAAATGATCTTCAATCGCGTACGCTGCATCGCCAACTGTGAATAATATTTGTGTGATCCATTTGTGACCAGCTCTGGAGTGAGAATAGAGTTAGCAGTCCCTTGGTATGGAAGGCGACACAAAATCTTGATAGTTTCCTTCGCTTGACGTTTTGGCGCATCGAGCCCTGGAGAGATCACGCTTAAGCCAAGGTTGCCAAGCCTGGATAGCGTATTCGACAAGGGGACGCAGGTAGTCATTGAGAATCCGAAAGAAGATAGGTGAATTCAAACTCCCGAGTGCTCTCCAGACTAGGTCAACATACCGATTACTTCTTTTTGAATGGGACTCGGACTGTCTGGAACAACCGACGTCGTCCTCTACCAGCACACCGACGTCGCGTTTCGTAGAGCTCGTCTGTAGATCTTGCGCCCAAAGCCTGTAGATGTAGACGTGTTTATGGCGGACGTGGACAACGCGGCATTTGTCCACTTTGAATGGCGGTGCGTTCCTTGCCGACCGAGTCCAGGCTTCATCCAGGTGGCGATGGGGGAGCTCGTCGTCCCCTGATCTCTTGATCACCCTCCAAATCATTGTCGTCAGCGTGGTGAAAATGTTACCTTTCTAATTATCGATTGCCCGTTAATGTAGACTAGGCACACTAGAGGGCCAATTACCGAATCCTACGATACTACGCGACTCACGCGAATTGGGTTGGACACAAATGTTCAAACTCCAAGCTCCAATGGCAATTGGGGGAGAAAGTTATTGATCCATCCTAATACTGGATCTCCGATGCCATAGTTCTGTGGCTGGCGAATCAGGATGCTGTAATCTAAGCGGGCAAACGCATTTGCAAAATCTGAGCATATAACATCGATTGCTGTACCCTCGTCGACTGCTTCGGTTCATTTCTCTCGTGCTATCAGTAGGTTTGTGCTATATGGTCGAATTTTTCGGAGCCCGTACTGCTCCGGCGCAATGTTGCAGTAACCTTTCAATTAGCCCATCAGTGCGTCTACTATGATCGCTTCCATGACCTTGGTGAGCACAAGGAGAAAGTTTACCAGGCGGTAAGTGGCGGGTTTGGGTCCACTTCCTCACACGTGAATAGGGATGATAAGACTCCGTTTCCTTTGTGACTAAACTGTGATCTTGTATAAATAGCGCTCAGAGACTCCAGGAAGTGGTTCAAATAGGTGCATAGCTGTTACCTGCAGTGCTTTCTGGGGATGTTGCCAGCTGTGTGTGCTGTGTGCATGCAAGCATGACAGTTTTCTAGCACCGTTTGTACGACGAAGGTAACGCTGATTACATCTGATAGTGGGGTAATAGCAAGAGAAATAGCGTTCGAGGATCGTATTCATTGGAGCCAGGTAGGGCATTTGCAGTCCTTTTTGCTTTATGTGCAAACCCACCAACCGTAGGAGGTGGCGGGATTCTGTGGTGCATCTTGTGAATTCCATCGATGTATCTGGAAAGCAGCTTGTGGTTCGAGCAGAATGGTTTTACGTACTGCTGCTGCGTCAAATTGTCTTGATAAATCAACTGCACGCAATAGTCGCATTAAGCTATGTACGATGTCCAATTTTCTGAGCTGGTAAAGTCTTGTAAATGCGCCGTGTCAGGTCTCTAAGGGATATATTTACATATTCAGTTTCTCGAAGATTACTTGGGTTTGTTGGGAAGATGGGAAGCTTTCGGCTCTGATGCACTTGCGACTAGCAATGTAAAGATTTGGAAGAAAGTTGTTAACTCTATCTCTGAGGTGCACCAGGTCACGAATTTGCAACTAGCGTTTTTATTGAATGTAAACAATAGTTGATAATATAGTTCAATCTTTTGGATTTTGGTAGTCCGCCGTCTTTTTGTGGTATTTTCTCAGATGCTGAGATTACCATTAGGTCAGTCACTTCACAGATCTGTATGAGTGGAAGCT